AATTTTTTTCTAAGCTGTGAAATTGGTTCCCTAAAAGTTTTACTTGCTCTTAGCTATCTAGGCACTATTAGACATGAATAAAGTCAAGTACCAAAATACCACAAACATGTGAATGGTATGGATCCTCTTATCTGGGGCCCATATTTCAGGAGCACACAAATACCCAGCCTGTTTATAGGCTATTTGTAGGTTTAACTCCTCCATATTTATTTATTCATTCAAGCAAACACACTTACTGAGAGCCTACTATATGTCACACCTGAATACAAAGACAAAAATATTTTACCAGTCTAATAGACGAGCAGCTAAAACACAAAGTGATTTGTGCTATATAAACAGAAATATCAGTTAAGTGTTATGGAAGCTTACAGGGGAGAGAATGCAAGGAAAGGCTTCCCAGAAGATGGTGATGCTTGAACTAAGAAATGTCACAGAAAATATACCTTGTTCACATTTTAGTATTTAGACTACAGTTCTCTTCTGCTCTTATACACTGTTTTTCAGTTTCTGCTTTGTCATCTAAACAAGAGCAAAGTGGTGAATCCGAGTGATGTAAAGAGACCAAAGTAGCAATGAATTCAATTTCATCAAATCTTAATGAAGAGTCAAAAAATAATTATATCAAAGTATTTCCCAGTAACTCCATCCTGTCCAACTTCTGGTTTTATTTTTAAATATCCTGAGTTCTTCCACCAAATAAACATATCATCTCTCACCCAATTAACAAGCGTTTCTTTCTGAATTCATAAGGCTGTCACAGGGAATGCTTACTTCTCTTTTCTTTCTTCTAGTTTCTTCTTCCAAAACTGAGTTTAACTTTTCTCATCTTCTTTTACACAAAACTTTGAATTCTGTACCAGAGAGAAGCCTTGAGTTTCAAGATACAAAAACTACAAGATGACTTCTGTCTACCTTTCTATAAGTCTTAGCTATATTTCCTGCTTTCTATTCCAATACTGCTGTGGGTCACTAACCAGACACTTTCTTCTGAGTCCCCAGCAGCTGCTACAAATAAAAATTTTAGATTTGGAACAGGAAATTAGCTAACGGCTTGTAGTTTTACCGATGCATTTTTCCAATACATAACATTACTGGCATTCTTTAACCAAAGTTTAAATTTAGTTTTCATGGTCTAGGTTAGGGTACCACTAATCAAGCAGAGCTAGCTGGTGGCAGCTAAGTCGAAAATGCTATTGAAGACTATATCTGCTTCTAACCACCGAAAGCCCCAGTCCCTCACCCCTACAATCAAAGGGAATTCTCAATAATGGAAAGCTGGAACACCCAGGGAGGGTGATGTAGTAGACAAATTTTTAGACTGAGTCAGATCTGGAATTGGCTAATTCTGTCCCTTCACTGGCCTCGGTTTCTCCATTTATAAAACCCGCACGTGATATAAGGTAGAGAAACTGGCTTAATTTCTAAGGTCCTGACGGCTCTATAGTAATCCAGAAACCCTACCTTTCTTCTCATCTAGTTTTACATGGAACACATGGGAGGCCAGAAAATAATCTTTTACTCCACTAAACCGACCTTAATTCTCAGATGTTTTAAAAAGCTAAAAAACACTCCCGACCCACCCACCCCAACCCTGAGGCTGCAAATTTCCCCTATAGAAGAGAACACGGCAAATAAAAGCCCATCCCACAAGAGTCAAGGAAGTGCAGGAAGATCACATTCATGGTATTAAAGCGCTGCTACCGCTAAGGACCGGCCCACCTAGTCGCCGCCGGGCAAATGAATGAGTCGGGATTGATGGACGTTCCCTCAGCGTAGGCTGCGACAGGAGACACCCCCGGCCCAGACCCCACCGAGAGCGATTCCCTTCCAGCTCCGGAAGAGCTGGGCCTCCCGGGCTCAGGGTTTTGGGCCCCGCCCCTTCCCTCAGGGCAAAAGGTGCCGCCAGGGCGCAAGACTTCGACGCGGAGAGGCCCTGGGACGCCCGACGCACCGCCCGCCCTGAAGAGAGGAGGAGCCTGCCGGTCCCTGGCCGCCACCGCCCCGGTTCCGACTTACCGTGGTGCGGTGGGGGAGAGAAATGTCAGGTGTGAGGGCCTAGGCCCGTCCGCCACCCGCCGCTCAGCGAGCAGCGCGCGGCCGCCACGAAACCGTCGCCGCCGCTGCCAACGCCGATACCGACCGCCGCTTCGGGCGTAGCGCGCAGTGGGCCCGACTGCGTCACACGCCGCCTACCGTCAGAGGCTCGCTCCAGGCGCCCGCCCTTGCTGCCTGAGCATTGGCAAACGCCGCCGCCACTCTAGACCCACCCTGTTATTCATTGGGCAACGACTCTTTTGAAACCCAACGTGAGGGCGGTCTTTGAGAGAAGGGGAGAAGGGGAAGAGGAGGGTTCTAAGAAGTTAGGGGGAGGAAAGGGGAGGGTTGGTGGGAGGGACATGGAGCGCTGGCCCTCACCGCCGCGGTTGGCTGGGAGAGAGTGGTGACGCAACACAGGGCCCTTCGAAGTGGGCTGGTGAGTGGCTACGTTGGGCCGAGTGTGGGAGAAGAGTGGTGACGCTTATCGAGGCTCCACCCCCTTCCTTGGAGCGAAGAGACCCGCTGCGAAGCTCCGGCCAATCAGAGGAAAGGCTCCAGGATGGCATGGTAACTATTCTACCCTTACCTTGCCCCAATCCGTGGGCGGTGATGGGAAGGTTTCCCGGTCGTCCTGCCCTAGCTTCTTGGCCAGACCACGTGCAGAGCTGGAGGGCCCCCCTGAGAGCCCTGCCTGCCCGCGTAGCTTTCCTGCCGCTGCTCCGAGGCCTTAAAACCAGGCCTTCTTGTCTCCTGACCCATGCAAGCCCCAGCCCTTTCCCTCTCTGAATTCCTAGAATAGACATTATGAGCATCAGAGATGCCCTAAGAGAATGGTTCAGCGTAAAACTTGGTACAAATGAGGATTCTTGGGACTTCTTTCCCACCTGCCTTTTAGGAATCCCCAGTTATTATAAAGTCCTAGTTCAAATGCTCCCACTTTCTCTAGGATACATTTGTCGATCTCGCTCAGCAAGTTGGGTTAATGCTTGGGCATGCATCTTACAGCCTTGTCACTTTGTAGCCTATTACTTGCCTGTCTTCTATGCCGGGGCTCTTGGATGTCAGAGCTGCATTTTCTTCATCTTGGTGTTAAAAAACGAAATTCAACCAAGTAAATTTGAAGATCTAATTGACTTAATTAAGCGATTCATTAATTGGGCAGCTTTCCATCTAGCAGCTGGACGGGCAACTGAGGGGTTGTACAAAATGGAAGGATATTATAGGAAGAAGGGTGAGGCAAGGGAGCTATTAGCAAAAGAAAGGATTATTTGGGGTCCCTGACATTTCTTTTGGGGGAGGAGAAAGGGAAGGGTTTTTATTATCTAGATTGTTCCTTTCTATGGAGGATGGAGAGGGCCTATGTGACAGATTATCTTACTGGTGCTTGACCAGAAAATTTCAGAGTGGTTTGATTAGGGTTATATTTCTAGGGGACGTTGAAAATACAGTTAGGTCAGGTATTAAATCTAGGTTTGGTATCATGGGCTTTTGGAATGAGTGACGCCATCTTGGGCCTATGGTTTTTTTCTTTAATATTGGTGTTCCTTTCCCTTGGGGCAAGCCTGAAACAGAAGCCTGATATTACAAAGGGGAGGGTTGATCATGTTCTAAAAACTAGGCCTGGTGATTGAGAGCCCTACACAGAATAGCATGGACTGTGCTCGGAAAGCCTATTTGGTTTACCTCTCCACCACTACCCCCTCCTGGGCCATCAATGCAAAATTGAAATGGGCTCTGCCCATAAGTAGGTGACCTTAAATCCCTGTAGGTTTTTGGCAAGGGATTAGAGATAATTGATTAATTTGTCAAAAAGTGGAGTGGTCATAAAGATGAAATAAGATAATGGATAGGAGAAACCTGGTACATTGTAGGTGCTCAGTAGATGCTTGAAGGAAAAAGGAAAAAACATACATGGAGGGTCAAATAGTAAAACTATTGATAGTTGGAACATCTGACTCCAGCCACCTTCCCCCAACTCCTCCACCCAAACATCTCTCCTTTTTCTCCACACCCCCTCTCCCCCCGGCCCCACAACACCACCTATGTTCTGAGTCAGGAAGTTCTCCTCGGATAGTTACAATAGCTTCCTCACTGCCCTTCTGAACCTTTGATTTCTCACCTACCATTCCTCAAACCAAACTAAACCTTTCCTCTACTTATTTAGTCTGGTGTCCCTAAGGCCAAACACACAATATAGGTGCACATTAAATATTTGACGCATGTATAAGTGAATTATGTTCTTAAGTAGAAAAGTAGAAGTGTGAAACTTTTGAGTGGGAGAAGCCTGGGTTTAAGTAAGCCCAACCATATATTAGCTGTATAAACTTGGGCAAATTTCTTAACTCCGCTGAGCCTCAGTTTCCGTGTCTGTAAAATGGGGATAACTGCACTTAACTCACAGGGTTATTGTGAGAATTAAATGAGATAAAGCACTTATCAGGTGCCTGGTATACAGTAATCCCTCAGTGAATGGTGGATATTATTTATATTCTTTAAAAATGTCAAGGAATTCTAACTAGTCTAAGAAATGATTCTTAGAAATGGATCTCAGAAATATGTCTTGAATGAGTGACTACATTCAGTCCAAAGTACTAGTGGGTGTGCAAGACTTAGGATCCTTATTTTTTTTTTAGCTGAGCCATGCTGCCACCTGTTGGCAGCTCAGCGGCAGCTCAGCTCAGGTGGGACTCGAACCGCTGTTGCTCAGAGCTCGCACTCTTGAGCGAGCTCTTAACCAACTGAGTCACTTGGTTGGCCCTAAGACTTAGGATCCTTAAATTGTGGGAAAACTGGAGGGGGACATATTGGATGAGGAGTGCTCCAGGGAGGAATTCCCTGTGACCGTGGTGATTTCTAAGTGAAGGACTCTTGTTAGGTACTCTGTAGGCATGTGGCCCACAAGCTCATTGTTCTCAGGGAATTCTGCCCAGGGAAGAACTTCTAAAGACGTGCAGTTTGGTGTATGTTCACAAAAGCTTACGGAGCCAAGCCCTGCTTTGGCATCAGTAGATGAGATGTCCACAGCTCAAAACTCTGCCCTGGACAAGAGAGATCTAAGCAAAATCCAGCTCTGTCCTGGGAGCCCCCAGTCTCTCACATACATGCCCTGAGAACTCACCCTATGCAGCTGTGAGGGATTGGTGCTCAGGGAAGAGACAGACCTCTACAGATTGCAGAATCATGGAAGGGCAAGACACTTCCTTGGGACAGTTTTAGATTTCTTATCTGGTGCATTGAAAAGAGCCGCAGAGTTGGAGTTAAACAGCTAAGTTCAACTGCCAGACCTGCTCCTTTTTAGACCTTGCACAAATTATTTCATTGTTCTGTGCCCCAGTTTTCTTTTTTTCTTTTTTTTTTTTTAGGGGAACAGGGTTGGAGTGGGGGTTAAGGGCCCAGAGAGGGATGACTGAGACACCTGGCTAAGTTTTGGGGGGTTTTTTGTTTGTTTGTTTGTTTGTTTGTTTGTTTTTATTGGGGAATTCGGGGATGGGAACAGCGCTGGGGAATTGGGGGAAGGAGAACAGACAAGTTGCTGTCCTTTTGTTCTTCAGTCTAGTTGTGGAGGACGTTGCTTCACTCGCCCAAGTTGGCACCATCATTGCACTCTTCCCAGGCGAGTCAGATCAGTCGCTGGTTTCTGGGTGACCGCTCACAGAGGCTGCTGGCCACTCACGCTGGCTGCTGGCTACACACGGTAGCCCATGGCAACCCACTGCAGCAGGGGCTGCAGCCTCACGGGAGCCCAGCTCCAGGTTGAACTGTTGTTCAGCATCTTAGCTGTAGAGGGCAGTGTCACTGGCCCTCATATGTGGGATCCGAACTGGGGCCCTCTAGCGTCCCAAGCCAGCTCTTAACCAACGTGCCACTCGGCTGGTCTTGTGCCCCAGTTTTCTTACTATAAAATAAGCACAATAATTCCTGTTTTGTAAGGTGGTTTTGAAGGTCAAATAAGATAATGGAATTTGCAAAGGACTGGATTGGGCACATGTTTGGCACATAGTAAGTACTCAGTAAATGTTGACTTCCTCCCTCTTTTCCTATAACTTGATAGTGAAGGGTGATGTTTGTAAATAGCATATACTTAGATTTTTATCAATCTTGTGTGAATACCTTTTAACCAGAGCATTTAGTTCATTGCAGTTAATGAATTACTGGTATATTCAGGATTTAGCTAACATTTTATACTTTCTACTTATCTATCAGTTCAGTTTGTGTCTCTCCTTTATTTATTTATTTATTTTTCCTCCTAACTTTTCTCACTTGTGTTCGTTTATGAAGATAACTGTTTTCTTTTTAAATTTTTTTTAAGGTTCTACTCCACCATATTGACCATACTCTTCCTCTCCTTTATTTTTTTATTTTTATTTTTTAGTAATAATTGCCATTTATTGAAGCCCAGATCTTTGCCAGATTTTTTTAAATTGAGATATAATTCACATAACATGAGAATATAATTCACATATAATAATAATTCACATATAATTCACATTTAAGGGGTACAATCAGAGGTTTTTAGTATGTTCATAAGGTTGTGCAACTATCACCACTATGTAATTCCAGAACTATTTTTTTAAAGATTTTATTGGGGAATTGGGGAGGGGAACAGCGTTGGGGAATAGGGGAAGGGAAACAGACAAGTTGCTGTCATTTTGTTCTTCAGTCTAGTTGTGGAGGACGTTGCTTCACTGGCCCATGTTGATATTATCATTGCGCTCTTCCCGGGTGAGACAGATCGGTCGCCAGCCTCTGGATGGCCACTCATGGCGGCTCTTGGCAGCTCACACCAACTGCCAGCCGCTCACGTTGGCTGCCGGCCACTCACGGTAGCTTATGGCAGCCCACTGCAGCAGGGCTGCAGCCTATGCTGTTGCTGGCAACTCACGGCAGCCCAGCTCCAGGTCGAGCTGTTGTTCACCATCTTAGCTTTAGAGGGCAATGTCACTGGCCCCCATGTGGGATCTGAACCAGGGCCCTGCTGCTCAGAGCTGGCATCCCAAGCCAGCTCTTAACCAACGTGCCACTCGGCCAACCCCCCAGAACATTTTGATAACCCTAAATAGAAACCCCAGATCCATTAGCAGTCATTCTCCAACTCCCCCTTCCCCAGCCCCTGGCAACTACTAATCTACTTTTTCTCCATGGATTTGCCTATTCTGGACAAGTCATATAAATGGAATTATATAATATGTGGCCTCTGTGTCTGACTTCTTTCACTTAGCATAATGTTTTCAAGTTTCATCGATGTTATAGCATGCATCAGTACCTCATTCCTTTTTATAGTCCAATATTTTATTTTATGGATATACCATATTTTTTTATACATTCATGAGTTGAATAACATTTGAGTTGTTTCCATCTTATGGCTACTATGAATAGTACTGCTGTGAACACCCATGTACAAGTTTTTTGTGGACATATGTTTTCATTTCTCTTGTGTTTATACCTAGGAGTGGATTTGTAGGGTCATATGGTAACTATATTTAACTTTTCGAGGAACTGCAAACTGTTATTACAAAGTGGCTGTACAATTTTACATTCTCACCAGCAATATGAGATCTGACAATTAAGTTCGCAAACTCATCATAGAAAAAGTGCTACATACCTCATTTCTGAATATCACTACAGTCACCTTCGAAGTACTCCCCTTGGGAAGCTATGCACTAATGCCAGCGCCTAGTCCACCCTTCAAAGCAATTTTGGAAATTTTTTTCTGGAATGACCATCAGAGCTGTCATCGAATCACCCTTGATGTCCTGAATGTCATCAAAATATCTTCCTTTCAGGGCCAGCCGAATGGCTCAGTTGATGAAGAGTTGGCTTAAGGGCCGGCCAAGTGGCGCATTGGTTAGGAGCTGGCTTGGGACGCCAGAGGGCCCTGGTTGGGATCCCACATATGAGGGCCAGTGACACTGCCCTCTACAGCTAAGATGCTGAACAACAGCTCAACCTGGAGCTGGGCTGCCGGGAGTCGCTGGCGACAGCATAGGCTGCAGCCCCTGCTGCAGTGGATTGCCATGGGCTACCGTGTGTAGCCAGCAGCCAGCGTGAGCGGCCAGCAGCCGCTGTGAGCAGCCGTTCAGAAGCCAGCGACTGATCTCCTTCACCCGGGAAGAGCGCAATGATGGTGCCAACTTGGGCCAGTGAAGCAACGTCCTCCACAACTAGACTGAAGAACAAAAGGACAGCAACTTGTCTGTTCCCCTTCCCCCAATTCCCCAATAAAAATCTTAAAAAAAAAAAAAAGAAAGAGTTGGCTTAAAGGCACAAGCTCTGAGTAACAGGGTCTCTGGTTCGATTCCCACATGGGCCAGTGACGATGTGCCTGAGCTGTCGCTGAGCTGCCAACAGGTGGCAGCATGGCTCAGCTGGTGTAACAACAAGATTGCCTGTTTGATGGTGGGCTACGCCCACCCACAACTAAGACTGAACTCGGCACCTTGAGCTGAGCTGCTGCCCGGGATGGCTCAGTGGATAGGGCATGCGCTCTTAACAGCAAGGCTGCTGGTTTTGACTCCCGCATGGGATGGTGGCTATGCCCACCCACAACTAAGATTGAACACAGCACCTTGAGCTTAGAGGCCACGAGCTGCAGACAGGAAGCCAGATGGCGACTGGAGCCCTCCACAACGAAGATTAAAGAACAACAACTTGGCTGGGCCCCTTCCCCAATTCCCCAACACTATTCCCCTCACCTAATTCCCCAATAGAATCTTTTTAAAAAAAATCTTCCTTTCAATATTTCCTTTATCTTCGGGTAAAGAAAGAAGTCATTGGGGGCCAGGTCAGGTGATTAGGGAGGGCGTTCCAATACAGTTATTTGTTTCCTGGCTACAAACTCCCTCACAGCCAGTGCTGCGTGAGCTGGTGCATTGTTGTGATGCAATAGCCATGAATTGTTGGCGAAAAGTTCAGGTCGTTTAACTTTTTCTCGCAGGCTTTTCAGCACTTCCAAGTAGTAAATTTGGTTAATTGTTTATCCAGTTGGTACAAATTCATAATGAATAATCCCTCTGATATAAAAAAAGTTGGCAACATCGTTGCAATAAGTTCGCGAACTTAATTGTCAGACCTCAGTATGTGAGGGTTCCAATTTCTCTACATCACTTGTCATTTTCCTTTTTTTTTTTTTTTATTACAGCCATCCTAGGGGATGTGAAGTGTCATCTCCTTGTGGTTTCCATATACATTTCCCTAATGACTAATGATGTTGACCATCTTTTTACATGCTTATTGGCCATTTAAATCTTTTTTGCATTCTTCCGGATTATTTCATTTTTCCTCCTGTACCAGTTTGGAAATTAAATTCTCTTTTTCTACTATTTTCGTGATTGCCTTAGAAATTACCACAAGCATTCCTAACTTACCAAGTGTCATGCTAATCACTACTTTTACAGGAAGGGTAGAGTTTGCTGAGATGGAGGAAAAGAAGCACTTCAAGCGAGATGAACAGGGAAAATAAAGATGTGAGACCAGGAAAGCCCAAGACAGGGAACAAAGGCCAGAAGCGGGCATCTGTGGGTTGGAGCTAAACAGAGGATGACGCAAAGCCCCAAGGTAGAAACCTAAATTTAGTTATTGAAACTAAATGGAGATGGTTCTTTCAGCAAAGTTTTATTGATTGTTCACTTGCCCTGGGACCTTAAAGGACAGGTGGGGAGAATTCAAAGTCAAAAGTAGTTTTTAGAGTAAGATACCTTCTCTCCAGACTTCAAGCCCCCAGGAGTCGGTCCAAGATATCTCTGGGTCCCCCACCATTGCCCAGCTCAGGACCTGCCACAGAGAGGACGCAGACTGAGTGAATGAAGAAGAGAGTGAAAGCATGCAATAAACTGGCAAGTTAATCAAATTGGAACCTCTGTTTCCCCATCTGCAGAGTGGTTATTTATAGTTACCTTGTGAGATTAACAGTATATAGTGATTAAGGGAATGACCTCAGGTACCAGACTCCTCGCTCTGACCTTTACTAGCTGTGTGAGTAGATAACTTAACCTTCTGTTTTCCATTGGTAAAATGGGGAAATGAATAGTATCTACCTTCTAGAGTTTTTGTGAGGATTAAATGGGATAACATAAAAAGAAGAAAAGTGCCTGGGACACAGAGGGTGCTCAAAATGTGCTAATTATTACTAGGAGGATTTAAATTGGGAAAATGTGATGGTGGTGTCTCTCTGGCTCAGAGGTCCTGTCCTCCACAAACCCTGCAGGTGCTCTCACTATGCTGCACTGAGCCTGCAGGAAGGATTACTGGTCCCCTCATCCTCTTTCCCTGTTGGGGTAGGAGGGTCTTTGCAAAAGGAGCCAAGAGTCTCCCTCTGTTTCCTTTATGGGTTAGTCAGGAGAGGGAACTCTGGCAGCTGGTTTCTGGTGATCAACCCTTTCATGGTGGGGAGAGACTCAGGGCTGGGGGTTGGAGATCCTCTCTGCCATGTCGGACAGGACAGGGCTCCCTCTCCTGATCAAAGGTGGGAATAGCTCTGGCCCAGAGTTTCTGGGGTGGGCCTCACTGGATCTTACTACCTGTAAGGTGCTCTTCCCGTTGTTGAAATGCCCCTAATCCGCTCTGGGTAACGAAGTTTGGGGGAGGGGCACCGAGGCTGGAGCTAAACTGGCTTCCTGTTTTAGAAGGATGATGCTGGATAATTCGGCTAGAATGGGGGGAAGGGGACAACAGAGACTGAGGGCAGGAAATAAAGAGAATTCAGGGCCTTGTTCAATTAATTTTATGTTCTTTCAACAGGTGATGGAACGCAGCGGAGAGGTAAGGTGACAAGGTGGTTTATCCAACGTGTCAAGCCCAGGTTCCCAGAGCTCTTCCGGCTGCCCCCACGCAGCTGGAATTGTGGGGAGACCAGGGCTGGAGAGAAATAGCAGGTGGGGATTCCAGATGAAGGGGGGAGAGCCTGGGGGCCTGGGTCCGCAGAAGCGGGGAGGAGCCGACAGAGGATCTGGGCGCTGTTTCCTCCCCAAGTTCCGCCCCAAGCACGCTTGCCCGGCCCCGCCCCCACCGTTCCTACTCCAACACCCCCCTCCCCGCTGCTCGACCCAGGCCGGGCCTGGGCCACCCCCAGGTCCCCAGGGTACCCCAGCTCCTGGCCTGCGCCGGCGCAGTCTCCTTTCAGCCACAGCCTGGGTGAGTTGCGGACGGGTGTGCTGGACCGCTGGGCAGCCCCACTTGGAGGAGCTCGGCCATGCGGTCCAGCCTCCGCAGGGCCCAGTCTCTAACTCTGGGGGTCCTGATGCCTGCCCAGGAGCTGCTGCTGTCCGGACTTGCTGAGCTGACCCCTTTCCCCTCTGCTCTCATGCTTGGGGCCGGGTGTGCAGGGGTTGAGCTCTCCCTTCTTCACTCCACAGGGACTCCTGGTCCGGATTCCTTCTTAGGTGCCAGGAAATGGAGGTGTGTGTGTGGGGGGGTGGGAAGCGGGAGAGGGCTTGGACTCCATAAATTCGTTTCAAATTCCAACTCTGCCAGTTATTAGCATGTGACCTTGAGCAAGTGTTTTTAACCTCCCTGAGCCTCATTTGCATCTTCTGTAAAATGGAAATATAGTCTATAGTGTCTACCTCAGAGTTATAGTGAGGATTAAAAGAAACTATATGTAGTGTGCTAAGCATGATGGCTAGATTTAGAAGGCACCCAGTAAGTGTGGATTTGGACTGGAAGCTGAGATCTTTTGGGACCTTTGGAGATAAGGTAGGGGTACTCCTAAGCAGGTAATTTTTGCACTAAGCACCTATAAGTAAGTTAAAGCTGACTGCCCTTCAGGTAGTGAGCTCCCTGTCCTGAGGCCTGGAGGACTTGACTGACCAAGTTGGAATGGCCTTATGTAAACCACATGATCCCCATGCTGAACAACTGTGTAAACAAGCCCAGAGTGGTTAGGTGACTTGACCAAGGTCACACAGCTAAAAAGGAGTCCAGGCATATCCAAAAAGCGGAACAGCTTGTTCCCGGAGGCTCCTTATCAGCCCCCTGCCTTGGGCAGTGCCTATTCATTCCCTGAGGATCTGGTGTTCAGTTTGGAGATCCCAGTGGTTCCTGAGGGATCTAGAGCAGCTGGCTTAGGAGAGGGATGTTGAGAGGGAGGACTAGCACTGCTACAACTACAGAATCTGGGTTTGGGTTGAGTGGGGAAGGTGTTCCCTTTCCAGGGCTGTGAGGGACTTATAGTCCCCATGGGGATGATCCAAGGACTGTGTTTGATTGGGGTGGCTCACTAGAGCCACTTCTAAGTCCCCTGGGAGACCCCTCTCTCTCACAAAGCGAGAAAAGAACTTGAGTAATGAGGGTAGGCTGCCTAATAGGGCCTGGCAGAGAGGTAGGCGGAGGAGCACGGATGACAGTGTGGAGGCATATTTACCTGGTTTGTTCTGGAATGCCAGGAGGCCAGCCTTATGAGTATAGAAGTCAGGTTCTTCCGGAGGGTGGGACTAGAAGGGAGAGTCCTGAGGGCGGGTCCAAAAGAGTTGGGACTTCATCTGACGGGGCCCTTGAGACCAGAAGGGTGAATTCTTTATGTATCTGGAACCAGTCCTATGTAGTTTGGCAACAAAAAGCCTAAGTTCTGAGGATGGCTTTGCCTCAGGCTCAGCATATCTTTGAGGAAAGGCCTTCCTCTCTTGGTTTCTCTGTCTTTACAGTGGAGACAGGGCTGACTGACTCATCTATATAGGATTTGGTTTTTACCTTTCTTTCTCCTACAGACAGGCACCTCTTCTCCCTCCCCTCCTAACCTGGCCTGATCTGCTCAGGTCCAGAGCGGAAGGGTCAAGAAAGGCCAAAATTGCAGTTTTTGACCCTGTGAGCCCCAAACCTTCCCACTACTGGCTCTTTTTGCTGTGTGACGCTGAGCAGGTTCCTGTCCCTCTCTTGGTCTCAACTTCCTCTTCTATATACTGACAGGTTGATGGGCTATGCTTGCTGGTGTATATTTGGCAATTATCGTTCCTGACTTTAGATACCTTAGGTGGAGAGTCACATTCCTCAGGAGCCCTTGCCTCCTCTCCCGGGGGGTGGGGGGTGGTGAGAGCGGGTAGACAAGCCCCTGGGCACTGGGAAGCCTCTCGAAGCTGACCAGGCAGCTCTCTTCAGCAAACAGCAAGCCCAGGCTAGCACCAGGCCTGATTCTGCAAAGCTTTTCACCCTCAGAGCTCGTGAGGCAGCAGGCAGGGCCAAGCAGGGGGGCTGAGGTTCTGTGGGCTTCCATGAAGTGCTTGCTGCTGTGGACTGCGGTGCAGGCACACAGAACACAGAGTCTGAGAAGGGTTGAAGGTGCAGGGGGTCCTGGCCAGTGAGTAAAGCAATGAGAGCTGATGGGAGGCCCTGAAGCCTGGAGGCTCAGGGGCGGGGGGGGGAGGATATGGACCATTCTGTCATTCTGTCCACTAGGAGGTATGAAGTCTGGTTCCTGAAACGAGAGAGACTAGTTAAACCAGCTCCTGTAGTCCTAGGCCTGTCAAGCCAGGCATAGGGATGACGAGGACCCCCAATCTATTCAAGCTTCGTTGTAGCACTGGTTTCATTCATTGTCTTTCCTCTGAAATTGAGGGTGAATGTTCTCATGGGATTCCAAGTCAGTCTTCCCCATTCAGGGCAGGAGCTGTCCAAGCTTAGGAGCTAGGTGGCTTTCTTCTCAGACTCCTCAGCCCATAGCTCAGTTTAAGTACTGAGCTCAAGGGCTGACTGCACCACTGAGCCCAGCCTCCTGCCTTGGGCCCTGACAGCATGCCACTCACTCCATCCCCAGGTCTGACAAGATGTACCAGGTCCCACTGCCACTGGACCGGGATGGGACCCTGGTTCGGCTCCGGCTCACCGTGGTGGCCCTGGTCACAGTCTGCTGTCCGCTTGTCGCCTTCCTCTTCTGCATCCTCTGGTCCCTGCTCTTCCACTTCAAGGAGACTACGGCTACACACTGTGGGGTAGGGCCCGGGGGCGGGCACTGACACTTCATATTCAGGCTCAGTTGAATCTATTTGGATCCTGATTCTATGGTAACAGGATTAGCAAGCTCTCCAGTCGGGCCATCACATATACTGGGCTCCTGGGGGGGATGCCTGCAAATTGAGGTCACAAGAATTAATCTCCCTCCTCTTTCCATGGAGGTTGTTGGGGTCTGGGGTTACTGAAGTTGGGTGGCCCCAGAACCCAATCCTTCATAGAGGGGCAGATTCAGGAGAACCCAGGGTTTTCTGGGGGATGGAGAGAGAACAAACAGGATTGGGCTAGAGGGCATTTGGGGCCTCTTAGTGTGGCACTGTGGACTTGTGCCTGTTTCTATGGGAATGTGATTATGTATATGTGTGTGTGTAACTGTAAGCGACATGACTAGAATGGCTTTGAGTGGGGTATATGTGAGAGTGACTGTATTTGTGCTTGTCTGGATGGGGACCGGGTTATGTGTACATGTGTTCTGTGGTAGGTCTTATGCCCTCTGAGGTTCCACAGGTGGCCATGTACTCTCTGGACAGTGATATGAGGTGCTGGGCTAGGAAGAAAGATGTAAAAGTTTTTTCTCTGAGGCCTGGAGGATATCTCTTTCTCTGTAGGATATTGGAGTAAAGGGGGTGAGACCTCTTGACCTCTGTTATACTCCTAGTTTATCTACTAACTCTGTATATTACCTGAGACAAGGACACTCCACCTCACTGTCCCCATGTCTAAAAAGGGGTTTATAATTCTTGTCCCCCTCCTCCTCAGGGCTAGTGTAGAGCTCTAGGTAGAGGAAGGATAGGAAGGTGGTTTGGGGAATATGAAGGGTGAGGAGGAGAAAAGGAGGTGGAGTGCAAGGAGATTGTCAGGTTGGAAGGCAGAGCAGGAGCGGCTTAGCCTAGGGGCTCTAGTTAGAAAAGAGGCAGGGCCTGGACACTGACCCTTGGGTTATTCTCAGAGAGAGCTCGGAAGGCCCCCAGTCAGCTGAGCTTTCCCCCTTCCTATAAAGAACACCTGCTCCAGAAAAGGGCGGTGACTAGCAGTGGAGTCTGGCAGGGCATGGGGGAGCCCTTCTTTTATTCATAGGACTTCTTTAAGTTTTCCCTCTTGTTTTGTCAATGGGAGTCATGGGCCTTGAGCTGTGGGGAGCCAGTCTGATGAGACAGACCCAGGGCTGGGAGCTTTCAGAAAGAATAGGACTAGAAGAAAGGGGGTGACCAAGTGATCCGAGGGGGAGAAAGACTAGAAGAAAGGGGGTGACCCAGTGATCCGAGGGGAGAGGGGAGGATTAGAAAGGGTCCATCCAACAGCCTTTCCTGACCTAGTTCTTACCTTAGATAATACATCAAATGTTTCTATTATCCTGGCCAACTCCTCTTCATCCTGCAAAACCCTTCTCAGGTGTCTCTTCCTCCACAAAGCCTTCCTCATCCTCCTTGGGGCAAACTTAATCACCCCCTCCTCTGGGTGCCCACAGTTCCCTGTGTTATCTCTCACACAGTGCTATCATGTTATATTTGTGTCTGTCTTGCCCACCAGACTGGGAGCTCCTTGAAAGTGAGCACTGCATTTGAATCAGTATTTGTTGAATAAGTGGATAGGAACCCCCGCAGCCCAGTGCTCTGGGAAAAGGAAGGCATGTATAATGCAGTCGTAGTCCATACAGAAAGTTATATTTGCACAGCATATGGAGTTAAACGGAGTAGGCTGTTTGCTCTGCCCCTCGTGGCGGGCTCCGAGGGCTAATGGGATCAATAACCTCAACACACCTGGCACACCTGTGACCCATTCTTGGCATACTGCATATGGAGCTAAGGCATAGGTAGTTG